GAACATTTTGACCGAAAATACTAGAATGTTTTCTAACTTGACATGTTTCTCATTTGTGGGTCTTAGGCACACAAGCTGCTCGTATCGTGCGACAGTCATTTACGTATAGTATATTCACACCTCGAAACCTTAAAGATTCCATCATAATTAATATGCCAATGACAACGTTTTTATGCTGTTAACCGCACAAAGACCCACTTGGCGCAATCGTCAAGTCGCTGCCTGTGGCACTGCTGTCCAAATATGGACAGACAATTGGTCAGCTGAGGTCTTTGTGGTGTGGCCACTTCCCAATTTGGTTCCGCTATTTATTGTCACATGCTTTTTATTTATTTATTATTTAATTTACTGTCGCTTGTGTGGAATTCTAAATGCAGTCAGAGGCCAGTGGGCAGTGGGCAGTGGGAAGTGTTTTGTATGCCAAATGCAAATGTTAGGGGAAGTGGCTAGCTACACTATCCCAGCTTGATAATAGTCGGCCAGCTGGGCATAAAGCCCAAGTGGATATCCATATTAAGAGGCGCCGTAAAAGAAAATGAAATTGACATGCATAACTATAACGGAAGTGGAGTCGACAATGGCATGCGGCAGGCTGCCTTCTAAGGCACTGCTTCTCCTTAGACGGATGGGTGTTTAACAATATTTTTACGCGCCTCTGCCTGACCTTCATGCAAAATATTTTGGGTCCGCTCAGGTCGGCTTTCTAATTTTAGATCCAGCACTTATTTACTTGTTAGGCACGACTCTAAAGTATGCAGTCACTCGACTACAAGAAAGAAAAATATACCAAAAGCCTAAACTAAAGCTAAGCACTAAATTAGTGCGTCTAAGCTGCTATAAATTCCGAGCTGAATGGTTGAAAAAAAAAAAATGCCCCGCATACCAAAGAGGCACGACTTCCGGCAGGCTTTGGGAAAGAATGCGGCCAGCATTGCCTGTAACTAGTGACAAAGACTTGGGCCTTCTTTTCGCTGCACACACATGTATCTATGTATCTGCGGCTGTGAGAGATTCTTGAGGTTCTGCCAGTGTGAGTGGATCATGTCGTTAATGGGTGCATTCCAGAGCAGCAACAGCAACAGCAAAAACAGCAGAGACAGTGGCAACTTGAAGTGGGTTAGTTGTGGGTGCCACAAAGGCCACAGCATTGGCCATTCAAATGGGGGCATGCCAGTCGAAGCAGTTGTGTGAACTTGTCATTTTCCAAAGCCACCTAACAAGTTAAATGTAGTATAGCTCTTTGATGGAATTCACCTCAATTGTAAGATAATACTTGTATTTAGAATTTCTGAGTTACAAGCCAATGATAATTCGTCATCTTGAGCTTCACTTCACTTATTTCTGGCCATTCAAATGGGGGCATGCCAGTCGAAGCAGTTGTGTGAACTTGTCATTTTCCAAAGCCATCTAACAAGTTAAAATGTAGTATAGCTCTTTGATAGAATTCTCCTCAATTGTAAGATAATACTTGTATTTAGAATTTCTGAGTTACAAGCCAATGATAATTCGTCATCTTGAGCTTTCCTTTACTTTTTCTGGAAAACCTGCGGAGAAACTTCCTAACTGCGTTTTAATTTAAATTTTCTTTGCAAATTTGTTAACAATAGCAATAACACACAATATTTAATTTAAGCATGAAAGTATTTTAAAGTAAAGCACACCTTCACGGAAATTTTTTTGGCCTGACAACACTTCTACTACTTGATGTTATTATTCTTAGCTTTTGAAACTCAAACATTTTCACATCATTTATTTATTTCATTGTACTTTGAATGTCCATCGATTTAAGCCGCAAAAAGCATTTGACAATGCATTGGTCTGCAGATTTTGGGGTCGTTGAGCCTGCGCATCTGTAGGGGCATAAAAAACTGCATTGGCATCTAGTCTGGTGATGATGGTGATCATTTGTTTAAATGTCACTTAATATGCAAATGCGCAAATACCTTTGTGTGAGCGCAGGCAATGAACTCTATGCCTGAATTTAATGGCGCAAGACAAACAAAAGACTTAGACAACGAGCTCGTCTGGACGCACGCATGCGAAAACTGGTTTGGGGCCGCAGGTCTAAACGCATTTTTTGCTCACATCATGGCACTGGCAGTGCAACGGTTTTGAAGCCTCCACGACACGGCAGCGCCCGCACCCACTAACCATAGTATAGCCCCTCCATAAATGTGTTCAACAAATACATATATGTATATGCATATACATAAGTATTTATATAAAGATGGGCATGGGACCTTTTTGAAGAAACTGCACACTCACGCAAGGCTAGCAAGAGTGGAATCAAAAAACCTGAACCCACTTCCCAAACAAATATTTTCTTCTTAGTCAAAATAATACGTATGAACAGATATAAATTTATGTACATCTGCAATAGCTGTCTGTATATTATTGTATTATATATCTTGACAAGAGCACTAAGCGGATGTAATTCCAATAATTTCGATGGAGAGTAGAGAGGTAAATCGGAAATAAATAAACTTTTCCTTTCTCGGACTTAGGATAATAATTGGGCTGCTCTAGCACTTACTCTTCTTGAGATTCTTGCGCTCTCGACTCTTGTTACCAGACAGATAAGAATCTGTACTGTGTGGGGTCTGCCCCGGATGATGGGACGACCGTCTGGATAGGAGCCTGTCTAGTCAGCTGCGGTGAGTTCTTAGTAGCTGATGGTATCAACTGATGTTCTTGTTCATCCGAAGTCCTACGGTATAAACAGAAAATGGAAATTATTAATTATAATAATATTTACATTTATACCTAATTATATCTATTTACATGAATGTATAAACATGTCCTATAACTTGAATACTTATAGCTTAAATAAGTGAACAAAAGTGCTGCTTATTTCCATGTGGCTTCAAGAATGTTTCTTATTTTTAACACAATTCTTGTCATCTTCTAATCGCAGGTGTTTTCCTTCAAAAAGTAAGTGATCAGGAATTATCAAGAGAGACAGAGAATGCATTGATATTTTCTTTTCGTGATTTGATTTGTTTGCTCATCGAAACCAGAATTTGAAACACGAAGAGAAGTTTGCATTTTGTACACGGCCCATCTCTAGAATGCACATACATATGTATATATGAGTATATGAGTATACTATATATGTATGTATTCTTACATATTTTGCCTTTCATGGGCACCCTTTAACATTTTAGCAATCGCAGGCAGTTCGTTTTGTGGGTCCGTCCACTCAACTTCTTGAACTTGTTGGCTAGACCTTTCTGGCTGTTTTCCCATAGACATGGGCCAGAACAGGCGCAAACTTGTTCGTTCTGTATTCTGTTTGTCACATGACTCATCGCTGTGCCTCTCGGTGCCTGGCACTCATCTTTTGAGGCCAAACAGGAACGCCGCACAGACCGCAGGTACATACATGCATACATATACGAGCATTTCACAAGTCGGAACATGTCTTGGACTGCCGTCCGCTTGGCTTATAATTATATTTCGAATCTGAGCTCGTACATACATATGTACATACAATATACAGTGGCTCGCAGCTTATTTTATGATCCAAAAGAGAACAATAGTTAGGTGAAGAGCATTCACCGGCGCTTACAAGCCGTTATTAAGGCCAAAGGCGGGCCTACAAAATATTAGCAATTAAATTACATTAAAATTTAATGGAAAATAATTCGAAAACCATAAGCTGTAAGAATCATTTAGGGACGTATAAACATGTCGGTTTATGATTAGATGAAATTTTGTCCTGTGCCAATTATGAAATTGATTGTTATTGTTTTATAAATAATAGATATGTTAATCGTTCACTTAGATTAAAAACTTTTGTTTCTACTAAATAACTGCACAGATATAGACCATTAAAGGAAAAAGTAGAGAGTGTACGAATAGTTTTAGGTTACACTGTATATTTGGAATAGAAATCTACTGTTGCAGCTGTTTTGGCGTCCAAGCCAAGTTACTAGGCCCCAGCAGCATGCCAAACATTTGTATGACAAACAACTTGTCAGAGAGCCAACCCACAGAGTTAGTTGAAATTATTTCAGAAGCCTTCAAGTGCGAAATGCGCTAATACGAGTATATTTACATATGTATGTACATACATAGTATGTATGCATGTATTTTGTTTCTGTTTCTTTGTCACACTTCGCTCGCTGATTGTAATTTAGAATCTGGCGCCTTATATGGCCGCGCAGCAAACCAACGCACGAAAAGCAAACTGGTTTGTAATTAAAATATGCGCTTTATTTTAAATTTTATTAAATGGAATGAGTCTAAATTAATTACTTATGCGAGATAAGAACTAGAGCTGCTTGGACGACCGCACAACAACAGTGGGCGTAGTATGCGAGGCAGGGCCTGAAGAGCTTCTAAGAGCAGCACAATTCTGCCGAGCCAAAACACTTGTAACACAATTACGGGTAAGTATGTATCACAAACTTGGCTGTGTTTGGTGATAGACGAGTTGCAGTAACAAACAAAAAAAAAAAAAAAAGCATTCATGCCTGAGTAGGCACCCCCAAGTGCTTGGAAGGCTTTTTCCGAAAGAAACGCGTGCCAACGTCACCTCCCTTGTCCAGGGGCCAACTGGGCAGCTGCAGGCGCTGGACGTGCACCCATATGCACATGAGCGTCATAGCCGAGTTAACAGGGCAGACAGCCACATAGACAGACAGCCAGCCGGCCGGCCGGCATTAATTAGAATTGAGACCAGGAGCAATAAGGCACATTATAGTATATGCTGGCACTCAGCCCTGAGCCAGTCCAGTTCACTTCTGGGCTTATTACCGGCGCACCTCGACCATGACATTCGGCTGGAAAATATGTATAACTAAAAATTTGTTTACAATGGAAACGCATAAATGGCAAGCCAGTCGGTCAGCCAGTCAGTCAGTCAGCCAAGCAGCACAGGCAAGCAGCATTGCTGGGCATTTGTCGCTATTTAGGTGAGGGTATATCGGTATATACATATAGATGGATATGGACGCAGTGTTGCTTGAAATAGTTTTGGCAAATCCAGCAGCTGGCTCTTAAAATATATGAACATACTACATTGCTTTTATTCCATGCCCATTCATTCATATACACAACAAATTTGAAAACTCAAAATAAACTGAACAGCAAGGCACGTTAATTTCAAGCTATTGTGATATCATCCGTGTAGTACAGCCAAATGGAAGGTGGAGGCAGCTCCAGACCACTGTCCTCGTCATCGGTCAAGCCATTCTCGTCCAGTGTGCCATTCAAATTGAGAATGCCGCAGCCTTTGCCCTGGAAAGAAATAAAAAACAAGATAGAACGCTACAGTCGAGCAAGCCCGACAGTAAAATAGCCTGTACTCTCCACAAAAAAAAAAAATTAAAAAAAAAAAAAATTAAAAAAAAAATTTTAAAAAAAATTTAAAAAAAAAATTAAATTATTAAAAAAATGAATGAATGAATTAATTAATTAAATTAAATGAGAATACATGTTTATGTTCAGTTTTAACAGCATACATTTACATCACGTACCTATGCGTGTTTATATGCGTGTATGTACGCAGCACAAAGTTGAACCAAAGCAGCAACAACAACAACAGCTGCGGGCAGCGCTGCCGACAGAGGCAGCGCATGAGCAGCGATTTTACTTATGGCTATAACTTTCTACAGAATTGACCTATCATGATGAAATTTGGCATACGGACACATTAGTACTAACTGGATGTACCTACCAAAATTGATTTCAAAATTCCGAGAATTACGGAAGTTATAAGAAAAAACACGAATTGCGGGGGAGTGGGGGGGTGCATCGAAAAAAAACTCAAACTCGTACTTTCTCGGCCTTAGGAGAATATGGAAACCAAGTTTGGTTATTCTAGCTCTTATACTTTCTGAGATCCTTGCGTTCATACGGACAGACAGACGGACAGACGGACGGACAAGGCTATATCGACTCGGCTTCTCATCCTGATCAATAATATATATACTTTGTGGGGTCTGCCACGCCTCCTTCTGTGTGTTACATACATGCGCACAAAACTAGTATAGCCTTTCACCCTTTGGGTACAGGCTATAAAAATCCCTGATTTCCTCTTCTTAGACAAGATAATATGAATTGAATTTATTTAATGCCATGGTTTGTTAATGATATTAATTATTAAGCTGAGTACGGAACTTGAAGCCCAAAAACATACATACATATGTACATATGTAATATACATACATACATAAATGGAAGAAAGACGTTTTAACGAGGCAAGTCCTGATAGAACGAAACAACGAATTTGAATAGCAAAGAGGTTCTTCCACAAATTATGAGGAACAAATGAACGATAATCCATTTAAGTACTTTAATGGAATTATCGTATTTTGTAAAATTTTAACTGATTGTGTTCGCATCAGTACTTTTTAATGTCTGGTATACCCAATTTTTAGAATATACAAGTATGTAAGCCAAAATAGGGGTCCGTTTTTGTTTTAGAAAGTATATCTGCTCATAATAGCTTTGTCTAAGCTATAGTTTTTCCTCTACAGCTGAATACTTTAATGGATAAATTGTTGTCGGGTGTATTACTTACGCCATTGGAGAACTTGCGCCATTCATAGCTGCCTGCATGGTGATTGTATCGTGTCTTGTACTTCTGTTGTATATCGTAGATGGACTCCTCGTTGCAGACCGTCATGTATTGGATCTTGGCTGTCAGGGTGTTTATAATGCGAATGTGACGTGGTCGCCGTGTAGTGCGCCCGATGTGATAGAAGGGATCCTGACTCCACATGGCGTCCTTAGTCTTGGCGAATTCACCGACAGCCACTTCCAAGATAGGTGGGAATAGGACTCGAGGACGCCCGGTCACTGGGGAGACTTCGGTGCGTGGTTCGCCATTTTCGTGGAAGAAATGTGACAGATCTTTGCCCGCATGCGCCACAAGATAGTCCATATTCTGCAAGAGTAGCCGTTATTTGTTGATTAGGGATAGGGATAGGGATGGGTTGTTGTTATTTACGCGATTCCAGTGATCCAAACGATCCCTTATCAGAGGCGTCAAATCGAGTACGTTCTCGTGTATCGCTACCCACATATCGTCCTTTTTATTGTGCAGCGCCACCTCATCTTTGAGATAGAAGCGCATTATCTTGGGCTGCTGCATTTTGTATAAATTTGTGTATACTTGTAATTCAAAAATGAAGTGTCTCTGAGTTTTGCCTAATATCTGCCCAGACGGCCTGTCAGCCTGTCAAGCCGAGTTATTTCTCTCGAGTGTTTCGAAATAGCCAACTGCATAATTTCAATGAATTTATTACAGCCATTCTTATCGCTGGACTGCCATCATCGTCGTAGCACCGAAGCGGGCCAATTAATCTCTGCTCCCGCCTTAGCGGCTCTTGCAGCTGGCTGTGACTGCGCCGCGAACAAAATGCAGTTGCAGGCTCTCTGGTATTCTAATTTTTGGTTCTTGGACGGCGCTGCATAATTAGTCGTCCATTGTCAAGTCGTCACTCCCCCACCCCCACCACCACTCCTCCATTCATCCATTCATCCACTCTTGACGGGCCTGCGCATGCATAGGAAAATTAGATTAATGACTGCTGATATTTTTTTAGCTTAACCTCAAAAGGTTAAAGACACTTTAAAGACATTTTTATTGATGGGTTAGTGTCAATGCCAGTCATTGAGAGAGTGCAGTGTACTATGAAATATGTGCAGCAGTTTTAGTAACTATTTTTTACCAAGTGCAGTGTCTCATGGTCTTAAAAGCTCCAAAATGTTGCGGCCTACGGCTTGGCTGTAAAAATCTGTCTGCATGGAAAACATTAGAGTACAAAATTATGCTGAGGGCTAAATTAAAATCGTCGTTAGTCTGCCTGAATGAAATGACTGATTGTTTAACCAACTGAACGAGAATTGTTGACATCGCATTGAAAGTGAAATGCCAGCTCACTAATGCACCGTTAGATGTGGCAGCTAGCCACAGACGCGTGCGAGTCGCGTGCGAAACGGGCAACCAGCTTATCCCAAACATAGAATTCGAACAGTTGTTTGGAATGTGGCAGAGTTGCTAAGCAAACAAAGCATTTGCAATCACCCCTCGCAAATGCAATAAACAGATTTCAAATGGCGGGAAAATTCTGCACTTGCCACAAACCTGCGAACTGTACAACAGCTGGTCATGCCATTGAGGCTGATCTGATGGAAAAGATATGTTCGAGGCACCTCTTCAGAGTCAGTCTAAATTTAGCAACAGCTGAGCAATTCTGGGACTCTAATGAATTATGACACACTTTTCAATTAGTTGCATGTTTTCCCTCCTATCCCTGTAACAATAATTTTAATGACGCCTTCCACTTCAAAGTTCTCGCTGCACATCCCCCGATATCGTAGCCGTCAAGAAACATACTCCTAAGTGTTGGCAGCAACGGGTGGGCTGCGTCAGCTGTCCTCAGCTCAATGAATTGTAAAAAGTGAAAAGGTACGCAGGTAATCGCACATTCTTATGTCTCTACAGCTGTCTGTGGGGTGTTTACTTTATGTAGACACCCAGCGGTTTCGCTTAAACGCTGAAGGACCAAGGCAGAGCCACTTAATTAGAAACGAGGCAATTTTATTGAGCGAGGTAATAAGCATTTACAAGGTCGGACGCCAAAGGGGGCCACAAATTAAAATTTGGATTAAATAGTGCACGATTCGTTCAAATAATTATTTATGCATTTGATCAACAGAAAAACTTCAAAAACCCAACTCACTTCCACTTTAAGGCGAAATAGTGCGAGCAAAAAGTTTTTCTGAAGATTGAAGGGGGGAATGGTCTTCCTAGGGATGTAAGTCGAAGGGAAAACATCGATGTTGATGTACATCGATGTCTCGTTATAAAAAATCGATGCATGGTCGATGCATCGCAAAAAAACATCGATGTATCGATGTTTTAAAAAATTAACTTTCCATAGAAAAAAAGCTATTATTAGGGAGCTAATCAGCAGAGAAGCTTGAAATAAAAAGTGTTTATATATCAAAAGAGACTGTCATAGCATTTTACTTAATGTTGTTAATCAAAATAGTACTCGTAATATTGACTTTTGATGAACTTGTATGGCTTACTTAAAAAAACTTATTATAACAGTTTTTAAAATAACGACGCGTTGCAGCTACACCTCTTAGGCATATTAAGTGTGACATTACATACGAAAAAAAGAAGATCAAATACTTAACAACCTAAAATTTATATTATAAAATACACATTTTAACGAAAACATCAAATAATTTATGATATAAATATACATACCATTTTCGGTAAACCACACAAAGAAATGTGACCGTCAAACAAAACATGAATAATGTTCGATGTTTGGACAAACATCGATGGATCGACGATGCATCGTTAGCAAAAAAACATCGGAAAACATCGATGCATCGTGGTCAAAACATCGTCGATGCTCGATACATCGATGTTTTTTTACATCCCTAGGTCTTCCCCTTCAACATATCTATACACTTTGCGAGGAATATTTTTCAAAGATGCATAGAAAGCGATATTATTAATATTTTAACATTGTTTTAAAAATGGTTTTCTGAAAGCATGATCGCCCGAAAATCATAAATTAAGTTTTGGTTATAAAATTTTAAAGCCAATTATCCGCAGCACCAAAGCACGAACTTATAGTAGTTTGAAAACGATGGAAAATAAAATGTTGTCATACAAGCTTTAGTTCCTCTTGATGCTCAAATTTCCAAACAATTTCTAAATATATATATATATATATAATAAGTCATATATTTTTGAAGATTTCACATTCGTAATTGATTTCCAATAAATTTCATAGACTCATAGATATTGGGTTTGCTTCATAGTTGCTTACAATGGTCCATCGATGAAATACATTGATGCATAACGGCTGAACATGTATTTGAAATAAATTGGTCTCGGTGGCATTTTCTGCTCAGTCTTTTGGTTAGCAAGGCTAACATTCTTGAAGTATAGTACCTTTTATGGGGGGGTTGTACTTGTATTAAAGGCATTTTGAACCAAACATGGAGCTTCGGTTAAGAATTATTGGTTAATTTTATGATCTGTTACAGTCGATGTAAGGCCGAACCATTAATATTTACTTACTATAGGTTTTTGCTATTTGCAGGATGTCATCCTGCTATACAGACTAAGTAGCAATAGTATTTCCTTCAAGTTTAAAATAAGGGTACAGAAGGCGGAAAGGCGGCCAGTTAATCCAAAATGTACGCAACCTTTAAATGAAGACAGTAACTAGTTTATATATATAACTAAGTATAATTAATCTGCTTACATTTTTTTAAACAGAGGACAACCGTCCATTATTTAAAGGTTACAAAAGCAATGCCTCACATCGCAAATTGTTTCAATAAATCAATACAAAGAGATTCAAGGTTGGTAAAAAGTTTATTACGTGAATTATGCAACGAAAGTTAACAAAATAATGGCTACACCTATAGGCCTCACCTGTCAGGCTTGGCTTTGTTAGTTGTTCCTTATATAGGCTAAAGTCTGAACGGATTATAGTGAATAAATTAAGAAAGATTGAATTGGGACATTATTTTGATGTGCTTGGTGCTTGATCGCCATTGAAGCCTTCCCAATGCAATGGGTATAGGAAGGTAATGTAGCTTACGGTTAGATTTCCATAAATCTAAAGTAAAGTAAAGTATTGCATGTATGTATAGATTTGATTAATGAATAGTGTTAGTTGCCCTCCTTTATCAGAATTAATTTAGATTGATTCTAGAGTTCTGAGCTGCATAAAAAGTTGCACAGACAGATAGAGAACAGACCAACTAATCCGCTTTGCTAATCTGTGTGTCAAGGCAGCTTGGCGACACCCAAGATGGTGGCAACTACTTGTAGTTAGCCCACGCGCGTAGTTTTCCTACAAGCATTAGTGCGATTTGAATTTGTTAAGAAAAGGCATGTAAATTAAAATGCAGCTGTGGTTTTTGCTAAGGCAGTCGATAAAAGTGTTTGAGTTTTTCCATAATGCAGCACGAAGTTGCACATGCATGCCACAATAATTGCCACTCAAGTGTGCGTTTCCTGTCATTTACAACTATTCTGAAAGTTCTTTTTATCAGCATTTATTTTCATAACGCGCTTAATGGGCTCTGTTGTGAATAAAAAACAAAAAACAACGTTTGCATTGTTCGATTTGTAACGGGGCCCGGTCTGCAAGTGGCTGCTGCAGCCATGGGCTTGCCACTGCCAGAGTCGCTGCTTCTGCGCGTGACGCACGTGGCCTGTGGCCCTTTGACGTAGGGGTAGCAGACAGAGGCTGTCAATGGTTGGGGTTGTTTGACGACCCGCAGCATTTGTCCATAATGGGTTGTGTGTAGTGTGTAGTGTGTGTGTGCGAGTGCGAGTGTTGCACATGCGTCTGCCACACGCATTCTCCTGGCAGTGCCAGCAGCTGTTACTCACACATTTCGGCTGCAGGTCATCCATGTAGGAGGTCATCCAGATGTTGCTGTTGACCCTGCCACAGAAATCAAAACCAAAAACCCGACAAGGCAAACAAATCGGTCACATTAGCTGCCTTGATTGTCCAAGGCATATGTGCAGCTTCACATTCTAATCAATTCGTTGAAGCTGATCACACCCCCTCCCAGCATCGTTTAGGGTTGGACCTTGGCTACAATCACTAGACAATGGAAATACAAATGCAAATAAGCTGCCCGATCCACAAACCACGACACCAAAATATCAATGGTCACCTTGCTTGCAGCTGTCGTTGTTGTTGTCGCTTTCGTTGTGGCTGCCACATTGAAGGGCTGGTGTTAATTTTTTCTTTCGCAACATTTGTCAACAATTTGTGCACTTTTTTGTTGTTTGTTGTTATTGTTATTCATTGTTGCTGGCTGTCGGTTTGCGTGATTAATTGCAATGACTGTACGTGCAGTTGTTGTTGTTTGTTGGTGCCCCATGTTGCTGCTGTGGTTGGCAATTTTCTTGTTGTGGCACGGCCATAATTGCCATTTGTGGCCGCACCCGAAAAGGACAGCATTGTGGGCATATAATTGCCAGCTTATGGTTGTTGGCGCTCTGCTGACAGCTGTTCCTCTTCCAATCACGCACTACGCTCCAGCATTTACTCAACTGGACGAGGACGAGTTAGTTGAGATCCTTATCCCATTAAAACCCACTTAGACAGGCGCGTGTCGCCAGA